TCTGCCAGTTCTTAATTGTCATAAAATCACCATAAAATTGAAAGCAAAGCAATAATATTGAAGGAATAACCTAATGTGCCAAACATCTATTGTTAATTCAGGTTTGTTCAATTATAAAAAAAAAAAAAATAAAATAAATGGCTCCAGATACAATATTGAGTTTTTCAGATACTTTTTTTCTATGCTTTCATATGGTAATTCATGTATGATAAATAAGTGTTCTTACATTGCACGCATGCATACTTCTTGAACACTATTGACAATGATTTAGCTCTTGTTTACACACCAATGAGTTAGGATACACATTCCACAAATCTTGAAAAATGGGCAACCCAATTTTTACAATAGATATACTAACATATACAGTATGACTCCCCCTCCTAGGAATTGCCAGCAACGAATATCTCAGCATCTGGCAATTACTAATCACAGTTGGCCCAATCAGCAAAACATTTGTATGCAAAACTTCTTACTAGAGTAAAACTACTTTGCAAGTTATATTTCAAAACAGTAAGATTAACTGAAAAATATATGCACATGTATAATAATAATAATGATAACAACAACAACATTAATAATAATAATAGCAATAATGATAATAACAGTAGTAGTAATAACAATAGTAATAACAATAACAACTCTAATAATGATAATAACAATAGCAACAACACTAATAATAATAGTAATGATAATGACAATAGCAACAACACTAATAACAGTAATAATGACAATAACAATAGCAACAACACTAATAATAATATTAGTAATAAAGATAACAATAACATTATTAGTAATGAAAACACTAATAATAATCTTACTTATTATAAAACGCAGATTGTGTGTGTGTGTGTGTGTGTGTGTCTGTAACGTTTATATATTGGATCGGATTTCCTACATTTTTTAGCCGATTTCAACAAAACTTCACAGGACTACATAAAATTACCTTGTGGTGGTTCTAACGGCACCGAAAATGGGAAAAACACAACTGTTTTTTAACAAAATCAATTTGAAAACACGATTAAGACACATCGTGAGAATGAAAGGGGGACAACTCAGATCGGGTTAAAAAAAACCCAGGTTGTTTGTGTGTGTGTGTGTGTGTTCCTTTATATATGGGATCGGATTTCTTACATTTTTCAGCCAATAAAACAAACATCCACTTTCTTTTTTGGCAGGTAGTATTTCTTATTGTCTTGCACACTTTTTTCTTTATTTATACATTCAGAATGCTTTAAAAATTCCATTTACAAGACAATTGTTTATAATAAAATTCTAATTCTATTCAATCGTGGGACTCATCATAACAATTGAAAACAATGTTTTTGTTTGAGTTTGGCTTTGACCAATTCTTAAAAAAAAAAAACTAAGACATGCGTGTCCGTCAACCTAAATAATAATTTAACGATCTCTACTGATTGTACGAATCGAAAAATCGGATAATTCTTTATCTTTAGGGAAAGATAATTCCACGTACTTCAGGGCCGTTTTTACAATTCCCTTTGCAATTTGTTACAAGGCAGATCAATAAGGCATTGGTTCTATTTGAAATTAATTCAATATTTAAAAGAAAGTATTAAGAAATAATTTAAAAATTGCGACATAAGAAATTCTGATAGAAAAAAACAACAATATTTCGAAGATGATAATTATTAAGGAAAGAACACAGTACTTGTAATAAATTAATAAACCCAAATAAAGTTAATATTTTTTGTATTAGAAACAACGAGTGGAAAATATATTCAAATCAGAATTCTAATTATGAATCACCACAAGCAAAATATTCAATTTTTTTTTTACTGTATTCAATAAGTAAAAATCTTAAATTGTAAAAGATTACAGAGAAAGGCTACCTACATTTTTCAACCGATTTCAACAAAACTTCACTTTTTTTTTTGGCATGCAGTGTTTCTTATTGTCTTGCACACTTTTTTCTTTATTTTTACATTCAGAATGCTTTAAAAATTCCATTTACAAGACAATTGTTTATAATAAGATTCTATTCCTCAATCGATAGACTCATAACGATTGAAAACAATGTTTTTGTTTGAGTTTGGGTTTGACCAATTCGTAAAAAAAAAAAAAAAAAAAACTAATTAAGACATGCGTGTCCGTCAACCTTAAACAATAATCTTTGTCAATTTTATTTTTCAGTCTTTATGATGGTGGATACTTGATCTATCTCTTACTGTTATATCCCCGGGCAACGCCGGGCTCTACTGCTAGTTAGTAATAAAGATAATAACAATATTAGTAATGATAACAACACTAATAACAGCAATAGTAATAACAATAACAGCATCAACAACAATAATAATAATAATTACAATAGCAATAACAAATTGAAAATATAAGAGAATGTATCAATATAAATATTCCTAAACATGTCAAAATCTGAATGAAAGCCAAAGTTGAAATTAATAAAAGAAAGTTTTCTTCATTGATTACTGAAATATTTTTACTAATTTATTTAATTTTGCAGCTGATTTACTGAACACAAAATATTTTTCAAATTCTAGTACGTAACTAAAAAAGAACAACAATGACTTAATGTACTGAGAATATGCAAAAATTGCATTTATATCAAAGACTCTGGACACTTGAAACACAACATCATTTAAGCTTTAAGCAAGTAATGATTTTATTTGTTTTACTATAATTTTAGCCTTTTTATAGAAACATACTTCTCCAAGAAATAATCATTAATTTTCATGTTACTATTGATTAATACTCCAGATCACAATTATTGAATTATTTCTTTTTAATTTTCTAAACTTTATTGTGGGAGTTCCATTTGATATATAAAATTCATTACAAATTGATCCACTTGACAAACTAAAAAGAAAAATAAATGAAAATAATTAATAATAAAGAAAAAAGGAAAGAATATACTTTAAATTCAGTTTTCATAACTGTTTTCAAATTATTTGAAATTTATATTGTAAGAATATGCTTTATTATGTGTTAAAAGCATATTGTCTTTATTTACATAGTCAGTTATGTGCCATACATGAGTAGGCAATCATGTATCTTTCGATATATGACTGACGAGGCAGATTTTTTTCCCACAGTAGGTTGCCATTTCTTTCTGCAGTAGACCAGTTGCCATCTAAGGCTATAGAACCTGGTCTATCCTGCTAGTTACCCACAGCTACAGGGAGAAGAAGAGGATTCATACCTTTCCCATGCATAAGTGAATGTAATGGATTTGAGTGGAATTTGAACTCAGCTCTCCGATTTCTCAATCTGAGCCGCTATCCATTACTCCACCATACCTCCTTATTTACATAAGGGGGATGAATTTACATAACAGACTGAACCCTCCTTCTAAAAATTATTATTTGTTGAAAAGGTACATTTCTGTAGAATTATTGACATATTTTTTTTTGTAATTATGAAATGAATAAATTAGAATAAACATAACACTTACAATCAGTTGAATCTATTTTAAATCTATCCACATTTTGTCAATAGTTATTAATGTTTCTGGATCATTTTAATAGTTCTAGTGTCATTTTAATACAAATTTCTGTTCTTCAAGCATGTCAGTATCCATTTCTTGGACCAATTTTGACTTGAAAAATACTAAATCTACTTAAGCTATTCCTTTGTATTTTAAATTTCAGATCCCATCTAAAAATTTAACATTACTAATACTGCAATTTTCTTTTATCCTACAGAACTTTTGTTTTGATATTTAGAGCAATACATTAACAGTTTACATTGTAATCTTGATCTAGTTAGTGAGCTGCTTTATTATTTATTCAATTTTTTTAAAAAATCCTGCAGATTCCTTGTGTGACATTCAGCCACAACCACACTACGTAATGCTGCTGTGGTTTTAATAGCAAATTAATTTTCACAAGACCAGGACACCAGCCTGATGTCCAAGATGGACTATTTTACAATACTCCAAATGCACTACTATCTACTTACATCTAAAGGGAGAAATGGATTCATGCCTTTCACAAGAGCATTAGAACGAAGTGAATACAAACTGTCTCCACTTGAGTTTGAACTCTATTCCTCTAATTCCATTTTCTGTGCCATTACCTGTTATGCCACTCACATTTCTGGTAATATGTTTTTCTACAAACAGATCTTTAAAAATAAATAAATATAATTTTACCCACAAAATGTTTTTCCTCTTAATGACTCTTTTCTATAAAATTCATTCTTATAGGTTACAGATAAAATCTTTATTTTCCAATATATTTAGTTTATGAATTTAACAGGTAACTTTAATGCACCATGTCCCTTCAGAAATTGATGATCATGGCCTTCCACAACTTCCTAACCCATGTGCCCCTCAGAACATTTCTTTTTTTGCAAAGTTTTCCCACCTGCCCATTCCACCATCTTATCAGAGAAGTGGCCCACTGCCTCTCGCCATCTCTCTTGCTTTCGATATACCCTGTAAGAGTTAAGTTTTCCAGACCCTACTTCCTCATTATTCATCTAAGAAATTTCAGCTGTCTCTTTCTGATTCTAAGTGTCTTTTTCATTTCCATCTTCCTTGAGACTTTGTTGCTTACAAATTCCATTCCTGGTATTCTCAGTATCCTTCTGTAGAAACACTTTTCTGTTGCTTCCAGTCTTCTCTTCATCTGTAAAAAGATTGTACTGCATTCACTGCCATACAAGAGGATTGATATATCACATAGCAATTCAGCACTCTTTCCTTTGTTTCTGTCACAATTTTCCTGTTTCTTAATACTTTGTTTAGCTTTTGGAATACCTCTTTCATTAATCCAATGCGTGTTCACATTTTGATGTCACATTTTCCATTCACTGTTAAGACCATTCCCAGATATTTGAACTTCTTTTAACATCTTAGACTTAAAAATAAATACCTTATTTACCAACTACAAGGCAAAAGTAATGTTTGATGTTATTACCCATTTTTTGTCCTAATCCTTGAAATGATGATAAAGTTTTTTAAATATTTATTTTTTGAATATTTGTAATAAATGATTAATCTGTTACATCTGTATTTTGTATAGGATTCTGCTTATGTTGATAATCAAGAGGCTCTGAAAAATCCAAATTATGTTGACAAAGCTTCGAATCGAAGAAAAACAGTTGGCAGTGACAACCCTTATATGAAAACTCAAACTGATCAAACATCAGTCCATGAGTAAGTATATTTTATTGATTGTACCTATTTCTTTTTGCTTACCAGTTTTCTTATTTTCATCTTGTATCTCCTTCCATCATTATTTTTTTATATCTAACATTATTTTGAATTGATCTTCAACTTTTCCTGTTTTTTGATGCTCTAATATATCTTTACATATCTCTTGTCTGTTTGTATATATTTGATGTGCAGGTAATATAATGGATAGTGGCTCAGAATGAGAAATTGGAGAGTTGTGTTCAAATTCTAGCCAAATTATATTCACTTATGCACTAATACACTTGAAGTATGAATCTACTTATTCTCCCCCCAGTAATGGGTTAAATTGCTGGGCATACTGGGCTCTCTAACTGTGGTTGGCAATCAGTCTAGGAAAAGGACAACTCTGAGTTCAAAATGGTATGTGGCACTGGAACCAAATTTCAAGTTTCCATTTAGCAAGGTATAACATCCAAAAGCCAACCCAGGATTATGAAGAAGACCTCCTCCTTGGCAAGTCATAGCACCTAGAAGCCACTCCTGCCGAGGTTATGGTGAAGACCTCCTCCTTGGCAAGTCATAGCACCTAGAAGCCACTCCTGCTGAGGTTATGGTGAAGACCTCCTCCTTGGCAAGTCATAGCACCTAGAAGCCACTCCTGCCGAGGTTATGGTGAAGACCTCCTCCTTGGCAAGTCATAGCACCTAGAAGCCACTCCTGCCGAGGTTATGGTGAAGACCTCCTCCTTGGCAAGTCACACCTAGAAGCCACTCCTGCTGAGGTTATGGTGAAGACCTCCTCCTTGGCAAGTCATAGCACCTAGAAGCCACTCCTGCCGAGGTTATGGTGAAGACCTCCTCCTTGGCAAGTCATAGCACCTAGAAGCCACTCCTGCTGAGGTTATGGTGAAGACCTCCTCCTTGGCAAGTCATAGCACCTAGCCACTCCTGCTGAGGTTATGGTGAAGACCTCCTCCTTGGCAAGTCATAGCACCTAGAAGCCACTCCTGCTGAGGTTATGGTGAAGACCTCCTCCTGGCAAGTCATAGCACCTAGAAGCCACTCCTGTCGAGGTTATGGTGAAGACCTCCTCCATGGCAAGTCATAGCACCTAAAGCCACTCCTGCCGAGGTTATGGTGAAGACCTCCTCCTTGGCAAGTCATAGCACCTAAAGCCACTCCTGCCGAGGTTATGGTGAAGACCTCCTCCATGGCAAGTCATAGCACCTAGAAGCCACTCCTGCCGAGGTTATGGTGAAGACCTCCTCCATGGCAAGTCATAGCACCTAGAAGCCACTCCTGTCGAGGTTATGGTGAAGACCTCCTTTTTGGCAAGGCATGGTACCTAGAAGCAACCCCTGTCATGGTTATCATGAAAATGTGGCAGCAGGAAGTTGGATGTGGTCACTGGCAGAATCTAACAGACCAAATTTGTGGAATTGGACTGCAATTGTGTCTGTGGCGGACATGAGACAGAACCTGGGACAAAGTGGTCGCGACTTGCCTTGTCCCCCGCCAAAAAAAAGAGCCCGTGTTTGCTTAGCATGTAAAGCTACTGCAGTTGAAATGAGGGAGAGAAAGAAAAAGCACTTACCGCTCTGACGTAATCCATCCTCGGCCAGATAACATAAAAAGAATGAGGGGGACTGGCATCGCATTTTTATCCAATAACGATGCAATGCATTATGGGACATGGACGCAATGCATTATGGGACATGGACGCAATGAATTATGGGATCACAGGAAGACGCAAGGATTATGGGTACATGAACAACTATAAAAACAACTACTTTTTTCCAAGTCGGCGAGTTCTTGAGGGATCGTTCACGGTTGACGGCTAGAACGGGCAGTTAGTGTGATTTGGAGACAGAACTCAGGAAGGAACGACTCAAGTTTGAAATACCAGTTGGGAGAGCTTGAATTTACTCGCTGGTTACTGTTTTTCTTCATTACGCCTCAAGCTATTTCGGCATATTGATTCTTCAAAATGGAAGGCAAAGTCTTTGACGTCCGTTTGATTCAGAATTCAGCGGCGCCCCACGGATATGCCCATTGTTGAATGGATAGAAAATGTGGAATTGGTCTGCGAACTTTGTGCCATGGACAAGATCGGCGCATCTTGCCTTTACGACTTCGAGGCGGTGCCCCTCGCTGTATATAGACAACTCAGTGGAGAGCAGAGGGCAGACGGAACAAATTAAACAGGCCCTTATGACTGCATACGCGACTGACAAATTTAATGCGTTCGACCAATTTATGGGACGGCGTCTTACGAGGGGAAACTGTGGATGAATTCCTGGCTGAAATGCATCGCTTGGCGTAGGCGGTAGGAGAGAACAACCTGATCGGTGGATGGCATGTGCATTTGTGTCAGGACTGCCACATCATGTTAGGCAGCTTCTCAAAGCTTCTTCCAGGATGGACGACATGAATCTAGAACAGATTCTGACCCGAGCAAGGGCTATTATGACGGATGACGAAGGGTGCCAGGTATTGGTCCAAGAGAGCCAACGCTGCTCAGAAGCTGAGGTTCCCCCCTGCCAAACCTGTTAGCAGAACGATTACCTGCTACAAGTGCTCTGGACCCAACCATATGGCGAAGAATTGTACACAAGGACGTCAGGAGAGGTCAAACAGAACGCAGAGGTCTGGTCGCGACAAGCGGTGTTTTCGGCGCAACGGCATCGGACACATTTCCTCAGAATGCCAGGGAACGCCCAGGGGAGAAGGCGTCAGCCTTCTCCCCGTTACCGACAAGTATTTGTAGATGGAAGTGCACAGCTCTAGTGGATTCGATGCTCACAGACTCTGGTGAGCAAGACTGTGTGTCGCTGCTGGAAGCAGGAAGAGGTGGGAGGTTGACTGCCCGACGGAAGACCCTAAAGTGCCGTGGATAATGTAAAATTAAGTTGGGCGTCGGCATATTCAGCCCGTGACTGTTGAGGTTCTGGTCGTGGAAGGGCAGTTGCTAGATTCGATCTTCTTCTAGGGATTGATGCAATCAAAGTGCTCGGAGGTTTTACTTGACCGAATCAAGAAACCTGAACACATGTGCCGCCATTGTTATCAACAAGCCTGACTTTAGAGTGACGTTTAACCCGAGCACAAAAACGGACTGCATTGTGGAAGTGGGCGGTGGTCATTCACCTAGCAAGTTGGTCAATAAAGTACAGGAGTACAAACCTGGCCACGTCCGGGATGCATCGATGAAGAACTAGCACGGTGGCAGCGACGGATGGCTACTGCCATATCCTGAGAAAGAGCTTGGCCCGCCCAAAGGATTAATTCCTTAATGGCGGTCGTACAAGAACACAAACAGAAGGTCCGACCCGGTACTTGACTATCGGGAGTTGAACGGGGCATTCAAGAGGTGTGTCGCAGAAATTACGAGAATGGCGACGACAAGGAGCTGACGTGACGCTGTTGGATTTGAGAAATGCGTACCTACAGATTCACATTGACAAATCGCTATGGCCGTTTCAAACAGTGGTCATTAAGGGCAAAGCGTTTTTGCCTTACGCGTTTGGGTTTTGGCCTGAATGTGGCACCTCTTGTCATGAAGTCAGTGATCGACATGATAACGTCCCAGGATCAGGACATTAAGAGTGCCACGTCGGCATACGTCGACGATATCTTCATAAATGAAGGCTAGTTTCTGCAGCGCGTAAGACAGCACTTTTGCAGATTACGGGCTAGTCTGTAAAGATCCGGAGGGCGATTGAGAGACGGAACTAAGGTCCTGGGTCTGCAAGTCTGGGAAGAAAGCAACTCCCTTCGATGGAAGCGGGAGGTCAAGTTCCAGAAATTGCTCAAAAGGTGACCCGCCAAGCGTATTTTCCTTGTCGGGAAACTTGATTTCCTGTGTGCGGTTGGCTTAGGGTGGCAACTGCATTTATTAAGCGTTATGCAAGCACACTAACCAAAGGATGGGACGACGAGATAAAGGATGCCCCTCTTGGACGTATGCTGGAGGAAACAGTGGCCAGAGTGCGGGAATCAGATCCTGTCGGCGGAGACTGGTGTGTGAACGGCAATGAAATGACAGTTTGGGTGGATGCAAGCTCCATTAGCCACGGGAGTAGCACTAGAGGTGAATGGGAGCGTCGTGGAAGATGCTTGCTGGTTAAGGCCCAACCAATGATGCCAAACACATTAATCTTGCTGAATGATCAAGGGCGTGAATCTTGCCCTGCAGTGGCAGGCAAGTTATGCATGTGGTCACCGATTCAGCATGTGTGCATCGGTGGTGTCTGACACCCTGACAGGAAGGACGCCGCGTGAACACGAAGGCAGCGGGTGAAATGCTGATGAGGCGGCGCTTAGAGACACTGCGAGCTTTGGGAGGAGTGCGCGCTGACTATGACTGTGACGTTGGTGAAATCTTGTCAGAACCGCGCTGACAGCCTCACCAGTGTGCGCGCGCTGGTTGGAGATGCACAAGAAAGGAGGAGAACCGTGCAAGTGAGTTGTGTCACTGCAACGAGCCAGTTGAGCAAACGTCAGGTGACCCACATCCACCAGCAGAGTGGGCACCCAGGTGTTAAAAGAACAATGTACTTTGCTAGGACTGTAGATCCAACGGTGTCTAAGGAACTGGTAAAATCTGTCGTTAGAACCTGTGAAGCCTGCCAATCGATCGATCCAGCACCAGTGCATTGGAAGAAAGGAAATTTGGTGAAAAAAACTGGAGCAGGTTAGCAATGGACGTAACCCATTGCAATGGTAGCCATTTTCTTACGCTCATTGACTGTGGTCCCTCCCCGTTTTGCAGTATGGCGGCCACTGAGACGGCAAGACTCTGCTGGTGTCATTCGTCAGCTAGAGACAGTCTTCTCTAACGAGGCCCGCCGACCGTACTGACTGACAATGACACCACGCTCACTTGCAGACAATTTAGGGATTTGTAAACAGCTGGGGCGTGCATTTGAGGTTCCGGTGCGCTTACGTGTTGCCTGGAAATGGCATTGTGGAACGCAACCACAGAAGCGTCAAAACCATAGCGGCCAGGAAAAATTGTTCAGT